ATGCAATCAAAACCAGGCATTGAAGATTTACAGAACTTTTCATTTGTATTTGTGATAGACTTTATATCCATGTATTATTTGTTATATGAGAATAGGAGGAATCACCATGTGTTGGATTTTTTTTGTGTTTAACTGAAAATCACCATTTTACCTTCCCTAGTACATGTTGTCTGAGTCTGACTTTAACTCACTAGGGACAAGCCTTGAACTTTTTATGCTCTTTCCAAGTCCTGATGCTAAGAAACAAATGCAACGCAGCTTGGCACAAAATTTGACCCTTGCTGGTGGGTCAGAAAACGTCACATGCATGAGCCTGTACCCTCTGGGGCATAGGCTCAGGTACCACATCAGGATCAGCCCCTCTGATCACCCTGTTTCTGAGCAACATCCCCTCGCTCTCCGAATTTAGACTTCAGCATATACACCTTGCGCTAGCTTATCCTGTCTATTTTTCACAAGATACGTAGGTAAAATTGTCAGGTTTTTAATGGCTGGTGTCTGCAGCTAGTCCTTTGGGTCAGTCATCTTTGTGTTGATTCTCAAGTGCATCTGTCTCAGTTGGATGTTTTAAACTAAGCTGAACTCTGGAAGGCTTGGATTGGAGGAAAGGGACTGTAATCCTGTGTTACGCAAACTGGAGAGAGACAGTATGGTATCGTTTCTTGGCTACTTAGTGCTTTCTGACTTTCGGAAGAAAAGGAAACTTGGCAGCATGTAATTCTAAGAAAATTGTAAGAAACAAAGTAGAACCCAGCTCTTCGTGGGGGCAGGGAAGGGGTGAAGTCTGCTTAGATGGCTTCCGCGTTGTCTGACGTCCTCACAAACCCTGCGGGTTCAGTGTTGAGGGAGAATGAGCCTGTACATTCCACCGAGGGAAGAAAGAGCAAAATCTTTTTCTTCCCTTAGCCGGTGGTTCTGTTAATTCAGGAGCTATAAAGCAGATTTTAAACTGACATCATTTTCTAACTGGAAAGTTAAGTGCCCCTTCTATCTGGAATACAAACATTTCAACAGGTCCTGTTGGCTTGATGTGAACTTTTGATTCCAGTATAAAGGATCTTAGCATTTCTGGGTGTTAACTTTTAGGGAATACATAGCAGTAGCAAATAGAGCAAACACTAAATAAACAAAGGGGCTCAGGTTGAAATAAATGTCTGTGGCTCTCACGAGGTAAGTACATGCACAGATCTGATCATGAAGAATGTTAGCTTTTACCCTAGAGAACAATCACATTTTAGCCCCGGGGTACAGCTCTCACTGCTGGTGTGAACATTTCACCAGTTAGGTACGCACGGACACAAGAATGATGCAGCATTTTAAAATACATCCTTTTCTTCTTAAACACAAGCCCACCATCTTGACAAACGCTGTTCAGTGCGAAGTTCAAACACACGTCACCCAAGGTTAATTTCTACCTTGTGCAGTCAGGTGGTTTCAGATGTGCTGCGAGGATCCGGATCCGCATGAGCAAGGAGACGCAAATCCCCATTTTGTTGTCTCCGCACTTTGGAATTCTATTCAGACCTCTTACATTGTGTGCAGACATACGAAAAAGGAGGACGCAAAAGTGAAACCAGTCCTGGGGCTGTCAGCGTGGACGTTCTTTCCGCTGACTGTGTGCTTGTTTGACTTGTTTTTGTCCTCTTCACACATTTTTTTTTTCTCCCCCCTTCACACGTTCTCTTTCTCCCCCCTTCACACTGTCCACCCAGGCTCGCTCTGGGAGTTCATGCGGAGGACACCAGCCTGAGCACCAGCAGCAAGCACACTCACCCCTCCCACCCCCCATCCCCCCCACCTCACCTCCCCACCCCCGCCCCAACCCCAGGGCCACCTTCCTCACATTCCTGCTTCCTGGGCCATCTTTTGCGAGGGGTTTGGGATTCCAGCCCTGGTGGTCCAGGCTCTCCTAGCTGTGGCTATAGGGACTTAACCCATTGACCGCCTGTCCAATAGGCAAAGCTGTTAGAAATAACCGTGTGGTTATATTTACTGCTTATGTGTTTCTGTGATAGGAATCGTCTTTATAGATAAGAAAATCATAGAACCACGCAGAACCTGTGGGTCATTTAGTTCCACGCCGTCATTTTACACACACACACACACACACACACACACACCCCTTCATCTAAGCAAATAGAAAAACCTCTAGTTGCTGGCAAAAAGCGTCAACATAATTCTTCTATTCAGGAATCAACTTATTTAATGAGTTTAAATTAAAGATTTTTAAAATCCTCTTTGTTATGGGTAAAGGAAAAATACCATTTATGATATACAGTTAGTGTGGTTATTTTGGTATAATATGTGTAATTGTCCCAACTGAATATCTGGCATATTCTGACAGCATTACAAGACTTAAAAATCTAAACTCTAAAATTCCTAAATTCCGAGAAAAAAGTGCTGCATCTGTTTTGGGTTGTGGATCTTGTACCGTGGCCTCTCAGAGGGTTAGTGGAAAAAGTTCTGTGGCTTTCCTCAGATTTATAATTTTAAATGGCCTTTTGGTAGCTGCTTTCTCTATACCCTAGTTTGTCAAGTAAGTAGGCGGATGTTTTTGCCTTCTGATAAATTACCATAATAAACATGTCTGCCTCCCTTACTTCATCTGCTACAAAAAATATTCAGGGCTCATCCGGTTGGGAGGTGAGTCACCTGAGGCTTTGTTCCCGAATTAGTAACGCGGCAGGCTCTCATTTAGCAAGTTGTGCTTCTCACCAATTAAAAGGCAAAAAGTTTCTCTCTTTCCCTCAGATAGAGACTTAGACTTTCACCTGTCAGAGGAAAATGAAACCGTCACTAACCAGTGTTTATTTTGCTGGCGGGTTCATGCCTATGACAAAGTGATTTTTTTTCTCCAGGTGAATTACTCCCCACGTTGGCGTGGCAATGACTAATAAAGTATTTATGAAAACGCAAGTGTGTTGTCCCCACTCCCACAGTGTGTCACTGCTGCCGCCAAGTGACAGGTCTGAAAAAAATATATCAGCAAACCTTAAACAATTAGAGCATCGATTCCACTTTGGAAAACCAAGGCCCCCACTCCCTCCTAGACAAAGATGCCTTCTCCTTATAGGATGAGAACGCAGAGGCTCTCGTAAATCCCTCTGACCCATGTAGCCAGCCATCCCTCGGAATTTGGGGCTTCTGAGACAAGAATGGCACGGTGGTGAAGAAAATAATGTGTTTCCCTGAACCAACTCCATCTCATTCTGGCGTTGAGGGGAGTTTTTAGTCTGGTTAGTTGCCCACAATCGCACACAACATCCTCCTGAGCTACAGGAGGGAGCAGTCCCTGTCTTAAAAATCGAGTAGACACACCGAGAACTTGCAACTCTGGGAACCCGCGAGTGCTTGGAGACCTATGCAAAGACCATTCTCCTGAGCAACCTCATTCTTGAACTGGGCTAAGAGCTTTCAATTGCTGTGACATTTTCAGCCTGGGAAGGGAGTAGTTGTTGTGGAGAAATGTTTTACAGGCAATTACTTTATATTATCAACAGAGCAATTCCCTGTCCAGAGAGGGGCCAAAACGATCAAGTTAAATCGTGAAAGAGAGAAAGAGCGAGCGGGAGAAGGGATTCATCTCATTAGCAGGTGCCAGTGCGGCCGGCTCTGCGGCGCACGGTGTCACTGGCCCTTTAAGACGACGGCTGCGCGCCCTCCGCAGCCGCCGCCCCCTCCCCCGGAGCTGTTGACAGGTCTAAACCTCCCGAGCAGCCCATTGTGGCCACAGTAGGAGGCACCTGCAGAAAATGTGCCAAAACCAGGCAGGGAGCAAGAGCTTTTCAATAAGCCCCGCAGCTGGAGAGGAGAAGCAACACTAAACACGCGGGCGCAGACCAGGCATGTGATGGGAAAAGGGGTCAAACCCAGACACCTCCTATCGGCTTTCTGAGCTTTCTGAGCACCGTTTGGTTCAATTTGCTGACATCTTCTAGCTGGCTTTTCTCTATTTGCTTAATATGCTGAGGTATTTAGCTTAAAAGCACTAAATACTCCATCACGAGGAGCTCTTCCCTCCCTTTCCCATTTACTGTTATTAAGGACGTTTTCCAGTATTTTCTCCCTCTTTCTGCTCCAAACTAAGATTGTTTTCTTTCGGTTCTCTCTCTCTTACTGCTACCTCGCAGGCATTCGCCACCACACGCTGCAGGCTTGATTTGACTCTTTCTGAATTGGGGGGGGGGGGGGCAAGTCAGGCTCTCCCAATTTGGGACCTGGGCTGCCTTAGTAAAGCACCCATTCCAGCTGCTTTCCCCACATGTCTGGAAGATGCGTTGCATTTTGACGCAGTAAACCTTTGCTGGGCATCTACTATGTCCCCACCGCTGTCGTAGGGACTTCTGGAAATCCAGAGATAGACAGATGTGCCTCCCCTCCCCGGCTGCTTAGGATCCAGCAGAGAGGCCAAAGAGCTGATAGGACCATGGGTTTTAGGAATTGGTCTTGCACCCATGCACTTGTCTTTGTGGTACTTACAGCCCTTTGGAGAATAAGCTGGAGTGGAGGTAGGGCAGGGGAGGCAGGGAGGGATCTGGCATGTGCTGGTGGTGTAGTGGCTTTGTCTAGTCTCTCTTGAGAAGGAAGAGGACAGAGTCTCACTAAGCTGAGAACCTGGCATCACGCCTCAGTTTTGGCAGCTCTCAAAGGTCTGGAAATCCTTGCCTTTACATGGGGCCTTCCGGCTGGCATGATATGTCCCACATCTATTCTTTCTCCCACTGGAGGTAGTAAGGCATTTATCTTGGTCCTACAGATGAAAACATCTGAGACTCAACACAAAGCACCTTGCCCAAGGGCACACAACGAGTGGGTGATAAGTGCAAAGGCCCTGAGGAAGCTGACCCCTCTGCTGCCCACCTTTACCTTTCTGCTTCCCTTCTACCCTGTGCGGCCTCTTCCACCTGTCTCCCAGCACCAACACGTGCTTTGAGAGTGGCGCAGAAGCAGACAGACAAAGGGACATTTTCACAGTGAAACTCTTCTCCCCCTTCCTACAGATGGAGAGTGTTGGCGTGTACGGACTCTGTGGGTGTGCAGCGAAGAGCAAAGTGAAGTGTGATTCCAGGTGGGAAATACCAGCTTCAGGTAGGAAAGGAATGAATTTGTGCAAGTACCAAACTGGCATCGGAAGTCGTCCCCGCCCCACGCCCCCCCAAGCAGATTTCATTCCTTTGGAGAGGGATGAGGCCCATTTCTAGCTGGAACAGTTACCCTAAAGCACATGCAAGATATTTGCCAAACCACTGCAGAACATCTGGTCATTCAGAGCGCTGACGAGTGGTAAGAGGCATGAGAGCAAGAGTATTTCAGAAGCACCCTTGAGTCGGGAATTGAAATTATTTCCCACCTACTCAGAGCTTGGAAAATGGGCAACAGCAGACATCTACACTCCCCAGCACAGCTGCGGAGTGGGACCTGGCTGGGCGCACTCCTGTCCCCTCTCTGCTCGGCTCCGCCGGCTCTGGGGGCTTGCGTGTGAGAGTTCAGGCCTGTCCTGAGGCAGGAAGAGATGGTCTCGGGCTCCTCCAAGCTTGTTTATGCTTTAACATGTCTCTCCCCACAGAGGACTGGTCCCCTTCTTCCTTCTTGCCCAGTGCCTCCCTCCAATTCTGGAGGAAACAAGTGGACTATTCATGTAAAAAGAGAAAGAGTGAGCTGGGGGGTGGGGGGCGGGGGGGGGGAATGCCACCGACAAACTCCATTGAAAGCCACTGGCTGTTCATTTACATTCACACTTTTTAAAAATGTTAACTAATGATGTTAAATGGTTTGCCAAAGGTCCTGGCAGGTCAGTTGTAGAAGTGTCATTTCTGCCTAATTAGGGCTCTTGTGGCTGCCCGGGGCCTCCCAGTGCAACTGGTGACAAGCCGAGAGCTGACAGCTTCAATTGGTACCAATAGGAAGGTTGGACCCGTCCTGTTTTCCAACTCAGCCAGGTGTTTGCTGAATGGGGGAGGGGGCCTGGGGAGATCTGAGCGCTTCCATGATCCGTCTTCTTTCACTGCTGCCTGGCAAGTCCTCTCCCTCTGCCTGTCTTGTCTTGTGTCAAGGTCAAGAATGGGCTTTGCTAAATCAGCAATTTGGGTTATCTCTGGGAGGTCATTAGCAATCCCTGGCCCAGACATTTCAAGTGGTCTCAGACCCCAGATGCTAGATTTTTTTTTCCCCTCCCTAAAATCAGAAAGTAGGAAGAGAAAGGGAAAGTTTTAGGTTAAAAAAAAAAAAATAGTAGGAAGAAAACAAAAGAGACCAAAAAAGACCCAGAAAACTCTGCATAGCCCTCAGTGTTAAGCTTCTGAAGACATTCATAATAGGAAAACTGCTAGAAGAGAAAACAGCTAAAACATCCAGCTTGATGCTTTGAATGTTTTCCAGGGAAGACGGTAATGAAAAAGAAATCATGTAATGTGCAGCTGGATGTTGCGTGCTTGTCACATAGTAGGTGTTCAACAAATAAGTTACTGCTGATTTGATTTTTCAAGGGAGAAATTTTTGCCTGGAAAACAAAGAGCAATTGATAGAGACCTGGTTTTTCCACACTTGCTTTACTTGTTCCTGAAATGTTCTTTGAGTTCCTCAGTTCATCATAAAATACATGCTAAGTTGGAGTGCCACATGAGAGGTTGATACGATTATTTTATTTCAGTTTTTTGTTTTCTCTTCCACTTTTTTTTTTTTTAACAACTTAAGCAATAACTACTTGGGAGCCCCAGGCTGCAGCAGCCAGAGCAAAGAGGCACTCCCGTGGCACTGAGAGGACACCTGAGTGCAGAATTTGGCTTGGGCACACTGGCGGGTCGTGTGGGGGGTGACAGCACTCCCTGTTCGTCCTGAGTTGGACACACCCACACTGGAACACACGCAAACACATACACACAGCGCGCATGTCAGTGGTCCGTCTGACAGGGGAACGGCAGGATTCAGGCATGAGCATCTGCGGGTCATGCTTGTTAAATCAAAGGGGGAAAAAATGCATCAGAAAAAATAAAACCACATTCATTTTATGAAAATCTGAAGACCAGATCCAAAGAGGTCAGTTCTGGGGAGGAGGAGGGAGACTACAGTCATAGGCGTCTGAAACCGGCAGTTTCCAGCTCTCTGTCCCGCCTGCTGCCTCTGTTATCTCAGATATGGAACAATGAAAATTGGGGTCAGAAAGGAGACTGTTCCCATCTGTTGATTTTCTCAATGGCGTGGAATGAAGATGGAAGGAGATGGCCTCTGTAGGCTCGCCAAGGGAATACCTGGTCCTTATCAGAGCCCACTGGCAGTCAGTCCTCTCTCTGTGGTGCTAAGTCCTCCGTGGCTGGAGACCCCGTCACCATGTTCTCTTTAGACCCAGGACAGACAGACGCTAACAGAGGGAATTCATAGTATTGCTTCATAGGCTGACCTCATGGATGCTATGTGAGCAAATGAATCTAGATACCTCCAGACAGTTCAGTTGCCTGTTTCCAATTTTCCAGGGACCTCCTTGGTCACTGAATGCCCTCCGGGGCTCCACTTTGCATTTTCGTCCATTCCTCTAGTGCTTGGCACATGTTCATTTTCTTCTCCTTCAGTCACCTTCCTGGTTTTGTCCTGGGATAGGATTTTGCCTCTAGTTCCAGTACGGACCCCCACCATGGCTCTGCCTCCCATATCTGCCTCTATCCGCCGGACGTGACCCGCCACCCATAATGGCTGTCTGCGGACTTCGAGGGCAAACGTGTGAGTGTCTGGCTCTCAACGAATGCTAAGAAGTGGCCACTGAAGCCCCTCATAGTGGTTATGAAGGTGGATATTTAAAAATCATTCTGTAAGATATTAGTGGTAAAGAAAGACGTTCTTGCAGCCATGAAACCAGCATGGAAAATAAGCCAGTCATTTAGTATAACGAAACAAAGCAACAAAAAACTTTTGAAGACTTGTGAACAGAGGAAAGAACATACACGTGACAGTGAGTCTTCTGTTTGGTGGCGTTAATATATTCTGGTGGTGCTCGTGATAACTGGTCCTCACAATGGCAAAATCATGTTCAGTTGGATATTACCTAAACCTTTCTGAAAGCAAATCTGATTTCGACATTCCGTTGTTTGAGGCTTTCTGATGGCCCTTTCAGATCTGATTCTGGCTTCTCTTTGACCTTGAACCCTTACTCTGCTGTGCTGACCTGCTGGCAGTTCTCAGGACCTGCCAGGATGTTTCATGCCTCAGGGCCTTTGAACAAACTCTTTTTTTAATCCTCGGAATGCCTTCTCTCCCTATTGTTCTTCTGACAAACACCTATTTCTTATACCACCTCCTCCCTAAAGCCTCTCCTGACACCCCTTTCTTTCTTATGTGCCCCTCTGCAGAACCTCACAGTCTTTCGAAGAAGAATAATAGTTGTGATAATAAAAGCTCCGTTTTACTGAATGCCTTCTGTGTGCCCGTGCCTGTGCTTTTCCTAGTTATACCGTTCATTCCTCACTGCCCTGTGAAGAAGGCGCTGTTGTAGATGCTCATATCACTAATGAGAGCCTGTGGCTCAAGTTGTGTGTTGACGGTCACACAGCTTGAACATGGTGGACTGGGACCTGAGCCCAGCCAGCATGATTCAAGCACATGTAATAACCACCTTTGATCTAGAACCACCGAGCCACACGGACTCCCATTATAAGTGGTTGCCTGCCGGTGTTTGGGTTTTAGAGTGTCTCCCCTCTGGCTGGTGAGCTCGTGGGTGTTGGTGACACTCTTCGCTAAGTCTGTGTCTAGTGCCGAGTGGAGGGTCAGCACATGGCAGACACTCTAAATGTGGGTCAAATTTAACAAAGTTGAATGGAATTGAATTGTACTATATATTTATGCGTATGTGTGAGTATGTATATATTCTCTCTCCTGCCTCTCTTATTCTCTGTGTGTTTTTTATATACATATATATGCACACTATACATACATATATAGCTATGTACACAAGATGTACATATGTATATGTAGGTGTATATACATAAACAAACAGACATATATGTATATAAAGAAATTACAAGGCAGGGAGCGAAAGAAAGAATCGGTCTCAGCTGGGAGGAATGCACATGCATTCCCGTCTCTTTGACTTTGGCTGGTGAGTTTGTAGTCTCTGTTAACCTCGTTGCCTTGTAGCATGGGTGAGACAGCATGTACCTTGGCCAGAGACTCCTAAAACCTGACCTTGAAGCTCTCCAAGTTCTGCTCTGAGTGTCCCATTATGGTTAAGCCTAATGGTTATCAGAGGAGGCAGATGTCTGGGTAGAAGGGCATTTTTGAGGTTTTGTTTTGTTTTTTGGTGTTTTTTTTGTGTTTGGGGGGTTTTTTGGCTATGCATTGTCCTACTTTGTCCAAACACTTTTCTTCATCATTCGGTCTTCTTGAGCCTGAGCTTGTTAGTGATGGTGAGCCCGGGTCTCATTCCATCCCGTAAGGTCCTGTGCATTATGCAAAGGGCAAGGCTAAGACCCAGCGTAGAGAGTAGCCTTAGCACAAAACCGAAAATCTCTCTTAGAGCTAAGAGGCACCCATCTGATCTGGAATGTTGGGTGAGGATTCAGTCACAGCCAGTTCAAGGGCAAGAAACTCCCTCCCGGATCCTGTGCTCATATGTCGCTTGCTTGCAGGGGGAGACAGTTCGTGTGGCATTTATAGACAGGTGCCCATTTGTCACACTTATTTTTACCCTACATGAGCATGAAATCCCAGTTTTAAAATCAGATTCCAGAACTCAACAAGCTGTCAGGCTCTTACTGATTTTCTAAAGTAGTTCAGTGGCCCTTGGTGAGCCCTCCCTGCTGTCCTGTTGACTCCCTTCCTGCCACTGACCAGTCATACCCTTTGCTTCTCTCTCTGCTCCTTTGCTCCCTTCCTGGAACCCTTCCTCTTGGCCTTGCCAGATCCTGTCCATCCTTTGAGAGAACCTGGTTGGTCGATGGGGATCTGACCCCTTCCAGCTTTGCTACGCCACTGAAGGTCTTGTTACTCACTCCAGGCTTCTCTCTTGATGTGCAAAATGCTTTCAGGGTGTAGAGCCTTGGAGGAAAGCAGGGTGAAAGTTAAGACGGTCTCTCGTGCATTCTCACCAACGGAGTCCTGAT